CGGCTACTTTGGTTGGGTGAGTGCCCAACATTTACTGTTCATTTCGCCAGACCTCTCTAGCACAGGCAGATGTTAGGAGAGTGTTTTGACTTGTTTTGTTGGTTATAATTTAATATTCACATACTTTAAACCACGAGATTAGTTTTAAAGTACGGTGAATATCAGTAGTAGAGCATCACGAGGGACGAGATCGCGATGGAGCAGTACCTGGTGCAGGACCTCCTTGAAATTTGTGGAGCCATGGAAATTTCCGCCGGGTCCGCTAAAACAAGGGAAGCGATTCTCGAGGTGATGCGGGCAGAGAATGTGACGGCCGAGGAAGCTGACGAGTTTTGGGAGCTTATTTGTGAGCAAAAGCAGAAGGCCGAAGAAGCTCAAAGGCACGAACAATGGAAGGCCGAAGAAGCTCAAAGGCACGAACAATGGAAGGCCGAAGAGAGTCGCAAAAGGAGAGAGCATGCTCTCAGAATGAAAGAGCTTGATCGTCAAATTGAAGCGATTAATTGGCAACGAGCACAATACCGACTTGAACTCTTCAGAATGGACGAGAACATTGTGTCTTTTCTCGTTAATTTTGAAGAGGTCTGCGACGATGTTGGTGTTGGGCGAGACTTATGGTGGGAAAAGCTTGCCACGTTGCTTCCGTGCAAAGTCGCAAGCGTTTTGGAGTGCTTATCCACCGAGGAAGCGCATGACTTTGATAGGGTTAAATACGCCTTGTTCCGCCACTTTGCTTCCGACTGCGAAAGTGGAGCGTACAAGTACAGCGCTGAAGCGCGCAGCAAAGCGCTAGAAATTGAGGCCCATCGCAAAGCGCAGGACGCCGGTGTGCGTCAGAGAGAGCGAGATGAGGCTCGGCGTAAGGTGATCGAGGCGGAAGCGCGTGAAAATGAGGCTCGCCGAAGAGCGCTAGAAATAGAAGCGCGCCAAAAAGCGCGTAAAGAAAAGGCATGCCGAAAAGCTAAAGAAACTGAGGCCCGTCGCGAAGTGCAAGCCACTGAAGGGTGCCAGAGAGAGCGGGACGCCGAAGAGAGTCGCGAGGCGCTAGAGACGGAGCCGCTTCGCAGCGCACATGATCCAGATGCATCGCGTCAAAAAGAGCTTGACGACAAGTCGCGTCGTAAGGCGCTACAGGTTGGAGACTGTCGACAAAAGCTTGAGCAGGATGCGCTGCGGAGTAAATCTCGAAAAAGAGAGCATGAGGCCGACTTCGAAGGCCGTAGAAAAAGGGCTATCCACGACAGCGATAGACCCCCACCGATTGAAAGCTCTGTAAGCGCCTTTGTTAGCCTTAAATTAATCGGGCCTCCCGTTACGCCACAGGCCGAGACCACTAGCACCGGGCGCCAGGAAACGCTAGCCAACAAATTGGGAACTTCGACTCCCCACAAAGATAAGTTGCTTCAGCCGCATAGAGTTTTGGCAGAGCCTGTCGAAGGCAGTGCACTTCTGAATAAGTGTGTCGGGGCTTCCACCATTCCTAGCCATTCGAAGAGAAAAAAGCGTCGGCAAAAGCGTAGCGCGGAAGAGACGAGAGGCATCAAACATGTTAAAGCAGCTGTTAAGTGCTGTGACGTCTTCATTCGCTACGCCAGGTTCAGGGCTAGGCGTAGGATCGCGAAAGGGCCCTGCAGGAAATGTTTGAAGCTCAGACCATCACTGAGATGGAGATTAGGCGGGAAGCACGTCAACAAAGACCAAAATTCAAGGAAATTGGAACGCCGAAATCACCGCCTGGTCTCATCCTTTTCTCTGCCTTGTAGATGCAAGCAAGTGGGGAAACGTTGCGAGCGCTTGAGCTGTAACACAAGCGATTTTTCCCCACCGTGGCGAAAGGGTCACTGGTCGAACGGGCGGCGTAAACGACGCACTGCAGATGCCCTTTTCTTCGAGTTAAGTGGCTGTACAAAAGTCGATGCTACTAAGTTCGGCGAACAAGTTGGTTCGTCGTCCTTTTGTCCAGACCGCAATCCTCGAAAGCTGTGGAGTGCGCGACTCCCCAGAGTTCGCCTGAGAGAGTGCCGCCTTGCTAAAACGAAGGGTGTATTTTTTGTATTTGAATTTTGAGAATAACCTTATCTAATTTGGTCGCCCTCCTATGAGCTATGAGTGCATCTAAATTTTGTAAGTTTTCCTTTCCTTTCAATTGGAGAAGCAGGCATTGATATGTTTGTTTGATTATTTTGTTCGCATAATATTTCAAAGGTAACAGTTAATGTGTTTTATTTTAACAGAGAAGGCTGTGTAAAAACTCTTGTTTAAAGTACCTCCTGGGTTTTGCATTACGTTTAAGTATGCACGTAAATGTAGGTCAATTTTTCACTTTGTTTTGTATAACCCACGCAAGTTTGATTTTCAGTCTTATTTCCTTAGTTTTTTCAAGCGTGCTTACTCTTTTCGTGATGATCGTTGGCGGCACGCATTGAATGATTGCTTGTAGGATGACGAACTTTGTTTTGTTTAGCGGTCTGAAGCTTGCAAGAGACGCCAATGTGCGTAATTCGGGTGTTCTTGGTATTCTAAATTGTAGATTCGGGGCCAAATTGAGTTAACCTCGGCAGCTTCGATCGTCCCTAATCTGTCCGGGTCGCAATCGAAAATCGCTCACGAAAAAAAAATTCTCTTTGGTTTAGCAGTGTCATGCACTGTAAAAGAGTGTCCACATTATGTATTGCCCCTCAGATACATTGCTCGTGATGCTATTTTTTTTTAGCTCAGTTAAATCTCGAGGAAAAATTTTCGTTTCTGCTGGTCTGGCGACTTGATCAGCATTTGGAGGGTGCTTGCTTTGGCCGGAGTGGTTCGCCTTTGTGTTCGACTCCGTCGTTCCAGTGAACATCTGCAGGCCTTTGGAAGTCTCAACGGGCGGAGAGAGCGGAACGGCTACCGATGGTCAACCAGCATCCCTCCTTCCGAGCCGCGCTGACGGCTCAAAACTCCGGATGCATTGTCTGGCGGCGGGGGTGCTGTTGTGCCACAGACATGTTCCTCGTTCGGGAGCGCGTCTCGAACTGTCTCCCCCCCTCCCAGCGCCGCCTTCCGTGCAGAAAAACCGTGCAGTCCGGGGATAACGTCGTTTCCTCCGCCGGACCACTTTGCAGTTCCGGGTATGGCTACGTCTCCCCCTCCGAGCCCGAGAACTGGTCTAAGAGAATTGACCAAAGACGCTATTTAAGGCCGAGCCGGCCCCATGTTAGGAGATTTTTGCCCCAGCCGACGTTGTCGTGCTGGCCGGCTCTGTAAAACGACAACCAGCTACAGTAAACGCTACTTTTGTTGCCGTTTTAAAAACGGATTGCCTCCCTGTTTCACCTTCGGGCTAAGGCTTCATCGAAGTCCGCTCGACGGCTAGCCGCTCTTCGCCACCGCTACCATCGCGACAGAGCAAATTCATAACAAGACAGACAGACAGACAGACAGACAGACAGACAGACAGACAGACAGACACACAGATAGATAGATAGATAGATAGATAGATAGATAGATAGATAGATAGATAGATAGATAGATAGATAGATAGATCGCAGAATCTTGCAGCTGTCAGTTGACTCCCAGTCCGAAGGATTATACTACTGCCTGCTCCATTGCATGAACGTCCTTTCTTTCTTTCTCTTTGGTTCACTTCATAAAATATACCATTGTAAAATTTGTTCTTGCCTAAACGATAAACGCACTGAAAAAAAAGAAAGATAAAAATGAAAAACAAGAACACAATAAACAACACAACCGTGGGTGTCAGTAATAAGATTTACCGCGTCTTTGTACATATACGTGGCGGCGCATATCATTTCGTAAGCGGAGACAGCCCACAAAAGGAACGTGCACGCACACTCTGCAGAACACAAACGATGTGTAGAAGTTGCGTGCAGTTCCCGCACGGTTTCCATTTAACACACGCGGCGCGACCACAGACGCACATGCGTGCAGGCATACACGAAATATCACGAGCCACAGCCGCGCCTCTCTAGTCCTAATGCACAAACAAAGCAATACACCACGAATACACAGACAAGCTGGCTCTGGACGGCAGGTGCCATTAGCGAGGACGTCATTTCTGTGCGCGACACGCCATACTGGACGGCATAATAACTCCGGTTTTACCCTGAGTGGAGCGCTTAGCAAATGACTCTCTCTCTCACTCTCGGCCTCGGTGAACCAATCCCTTCAGTGCCAAGGACAAACGCTTCCGGCGAGTTAGCATCAGCGGGGCGCGGACCTCCATATCCGCGTCTATACATATATACTGTGCCATATACATATATGTACGTACCGCTACTATTCCTGTTACGTATACACGCCCTCGTGTGACGTCACACCGCTTCGCCCAGATGTTACAAGGACAGTGAGGCAATTCGGCCGGTCATCAGTTCGCCCGTGCAACCTCACAGGATGGCAGCAGGCAGCGTTGTTTTGCAATTCACACTAAATTATTCATGTTTTGCTCGAGCTTAGGCGCATAATCACTAAACACCACTCCACACCATGCACTAATTAGAACAACTCGATCATATTCTTGCCCACTATTGTGAGCAGAGAAAGAAAAAATGAAGGCTTACGTGACTTGCAGCTTGGTTAATGAAATTATATAATTCGTTGATCGGCAAACCAGTCGCTCTCCAAATTCGACAGTCAATTGTTTGCTCTGCAAGAGCCCTTTGAAACACAACTGAGACTTCGCTCCGATGTTGAGGCTATAAAACTTGCAGGAAACTAAAATAGGCGTATCAAGTGCGACTAGTTTGAACAAAAGCATTTTTTTTACTCAGCGTAACGTGCATTGTGATGCTGTATACTGTCGTGTTTGTACATTCATACAATGAACGCACTGCTACTTCGAGTACAAATGGTGGTGCACACTTTCGTATGGACTTTTAAATCCCGCCCATATATAACATATATATATATATATATATATATATATATATATATATATATATATATATATATATATATAGTTTGCGTGTGTGTGTGTAATACCACTGCATTGCTGACTCATGCAGGTCACCAAATAGCGATGGATCCAGTGAAAGTTCTCATCTTTGGAAGCATAGGTAAGGAATAATTGTTCTAAAAAACAGTGATCATGAAGTTGTTCAAGTTTCGAATTTTCGCATGGTGTGATGTGTAATTCTGCATTACTTGGCCAGCACGAACAAATGAAAGACAACAATAACAATAAATGGCTGCTCAAGTTGCTTACACCAGAAAGAGTGATGACACTTATACGCATGGATGATAGAGTGACGACGATACAGTGTTCGTAGAAAACATTTATCCCTCGTAATACATCTTATTTAAAGTGTAAGTGCGCATGAAAAGATACAGTGCTTGGGGTTAACCTGTTCATTATTTCCTTCACTCCATCCCACTAATCCGTTTCCTCTCCCTCCTCCGCAATGTTTTGTTCTCTGCGCAGCCACAGCTGAAGACTTCGAGAACGATGACCTCTTCGTGCACTACTTCTTTCATCTGGAAAATGGTGGGTGCACATCCGACCGATGACGACATTCCCGTATGAACACACACACACACACACACACACGCACACGCACACGCACACGCACACGCACACGCACACGCACACGCACACGCACACGCACACGCACACGCACACACACACACACACGCACACGCACACGCACACGCACACGCACACGCACACGCACACGCACACGCACACGCACACGCACACGCACACGCACACACACACACACACACACACACACACACACACACAAAGGTATATGCGGCAAGCCACTGTGGTTGCCTCGCGGTAAGGACGTTTGGCGGCTGACCGAATAGGCTCGATCATGGCCGTGCCAGGTCGCATTTGGATGGCGACGAAATGCTGTAGAGGCCCTTGTACTGGGCGCGATATAAGTGCAAGCTTAAGAACCTCAGGTGGCCGAAATTATCCGGGCACCTCCGCTACGGAGTCTCTGACAGACTGAGTCACTTTGGGACGTCGAACTCCAGAACTCGAAACCCAACCAGTAAGAATCAGTGAGGGCATCACCGAATTGTAGTCGTATATTTTAAGATGATGATGGCAATATTGATGATAATTAAAATAGGCTCCTCTCTCATAAAACAAGCTAGTAAGTTAAAGTCGCTGTCACGTTTGCTTTTCCAGCCAACCTGCGCCACTGCATAAGTGAATCTACACGTGCACGACTGGTGTAGATTCATGAGTGCCATGCGATGCTGTTCTCCGGACTTCGTAAAATACCGCACATGTTGAGGAACTCCACCCTGGGTGGACTCAAATTGGTCCTGAGGGCTAGCAAGGTCTCGTTGATTGACTTACTAAGTTTCACGTTTTCAAGAGTAGTACCTGCAAAAGGTGCTATATACCCCTTGAAATCTGAAAACTAATAATGAGAAACAGAAAGAATAAGCTTTTCTTTTTTCTTTCTGGAACTGCGTATATACTGGCGCTGTTGCAAATAGCATCGCTTAAATAACTTTTCAGATTCCAATCAACACGATGGCTGATTTTCTTGGTATATGTCTCCTTCAAAGATACGGCATCCTGTCTTACTACGATCCCTTCCCCGAAAATATGGAAAAGCCTTTTTATGATGCTGAAAATGTCATCAGCGAAGGCGGACAGCGAGTGCCAATTGTAAGAAAAAAAATGTGAATTTGCCCCGCGATCATAAACGACTCCGTAGCGCGTAATCCAGCGTGATAATCGTCGACTTATCACTGCGAGAAGGCGCGTTTTCTTTTTCCCCAAGCAATCATTTTTTTTTCCCTCGAAACTTTCGTATCCTACGTTTCACAAGACTCGCACGCTGCAACGTCCAGTACACAGCGTGGCTCTGTACACCTGTGCGTGCTCTTGGCAGTTACGGTACCTGCACGTGCCAGGGCGTGGTTACGAAACGACGGCTCGTCTCTTACGTCAGCTCGACTGCGAGGGTGGGCGCAGAAGAAGAACAAAAAGCAGAGATGTACGGTATTGGTTCCTCCTCTGGGGAAATGGCGCAGTCGAGCCAGGGTCCCAAAGGTGGATAGCGACAGTTAGGTAACACGCGAGGAAGGCGTCAAAGATCAGGGTGGCCCGATGATCGGTTTGCACGCGCAAAGGCGTATTCTTCGTGCTCGTCGATTGTCGTAACACCGGCGGCAATCCACACCGTCGCGGCGCGTCTTTATCCGATCAGCGCGTATATATAGCAGATTGAGCTTCCTTGCGTATATAAGATGAAGACGAGAGGACAGTTTAAGCCTGGGTGACGTAACGCCTACTCCCATCACCGCATTATCGCGCAGTAATAGAAGAGCAACTAAAGAATGTTATGCAGGAAATTCCCTCTCGATTAGAGAAGCGGGATCTGAGAATGCGCGGTGCGTCCCGTGTAAAGCGTTAAGTGAGCATGCACAGGCGCTCGTCTAATGCCATGCCATTACAGAGGGTATGCACTACCATCACTTGTTGCAGTTATCGGCGCAATCTACGGAGAGACAAAAGGAACTGCATTTACAAAACTAAGTCGACCTCCCTAGAGCCGACGTCGTCCTTACAGTTCACCACCGTTACAGTCGTTTGGTGTAGCAAGGGAATCTGCGAACGTTCATGCACTCTCGTTTTTTTTTTGATGGCCCTGAAGGAATGTATGTACCCCTAGGTAGTGGGTGTTCGCGCTGTGGTAATGTGGCTAAACGTAACCAATAATGGTCATCATTATCATTATATATTGTCCAGGGTCAACACGACCCCGGACAATAGATATATAGGCCACGAAGCTTCTCTCAAAGTGTATCCAAGCGAACAAAGCTTATCTCGTTGGTCTGAGCAATCCTTCCCGTTGTTGCTTTGCACCGTCTGTTGCTTAGCGACATGAACGGGCAATAAGGTTAAAACCAGATTCACATCTTCTTCACATCTAAAATTCACACTTACATAATAATGCTTCCTTACGCAGGCTGGACTTCGTCGTCGTCGCCGCTGTTCGGCGTGACGCAGTGTTCCCGAACCAAGTCCAAAGGACGCGTGAGTAGACGAGCGAGCTGTATGTGCAAAACGAAAGTATTTAGTATTATTTAGTATTATAACGGAATAATTTAAGCCATCGCACGGGCGGTTACCCCATGGTATTGCGGTACAGCAAACTGCCTATACGCGCAACCTTAATAAGAACTAACAGACGCGAGCATGCGCAGTGGGGATGTGGACTCCGCCAACGCCGAGGAGAAGGAGGTAGAAACTATTCAGAAAAAGAAAAAAAGTATAGATGCTGGCAGTTGGCCCTCAGTCCAGGGCTCCGCTGGCAGGAGCGGCTCGCTGGGCCTATTCAAGCAAATCTCTTCGGCTGTGCTCGGTCTCATGCGAAAGCCATGCCTCCCACTGCCTGTGTAACATATGACGCCGAAACCTGACATCGTGCGACTAAAAAATGCTCTGCATTTGAAAGACAGCTTCTTCGTCAGGCATCGTAACGCATATACTGTTGATTCTTCTCCTTACAGTTCATGAGGGTAGCAGTCTTTTGGTCTGCTCTGCATTTGAAAGACAGCTTCATCGTCAGGCATCGTAACGCATATACTGTTGTTCATTCTTCTCCTTACAGTTCATGAGGGTAGCAGTCTTTTGAGTCAATTGAGTATCCTTGCCAGCCATATGGGTTTACGTGGCCTTCACAAATTTCAGGCTTTCCATTTATGGATGCATGTGTATGTATACTAGCAGCATAGGCCTTTCCGCAACAAACCTCAGAACTCGGCTTTGAACCGCATCACTAAAGTGAGACTTTGCGGTACGTTTAGGTATGTCACGTGACAAACGTCCAGCTATCAAAGCATCAGGGCAGTGATGCTTTGGTAGCCGGACGTTCATACAAATTCCAAACTTTGATTAGAAGAATGAAAGAGATATATTTTCTTTACATGTTCCACGCTCAAACACAAAGCACGGTTATTCCTGCTCGACTCTAAAAATGGGAAACGTACATGTACTCATAAACTGCGTCTATACGTGAATGCGACAACTGGCGCATCGCAACGCATTAACTTTGTGGTGCATTGCATAGACATATAGACGGGAGTGCTGCATTACGAAGGCGCTTCGTGTATTAATGTGCCAGCCAGGAGCTCATTTCGTCGACTCTTGCGTCATCATTCACAGGAAGGGAATGGTACACTCCTCCGACACCACATTCTTAGCAGCTGCGGGGGAAAGGGGGCAGGAGGGCGATGTTGGCTTTGCGGGACAGTGAATGCGCTGCACGTAGTTCTTGTGATGCGCTACCGTTGCATTATGTAGCAGCGCAAAGCTTTTTCTTTCTTTTTGTCGGCTCTGCAAATACGACTTATCCGAATCGTGGAAATAAGAATGGGACAGGCCATGCGTCGATCGGGCAATCCGTTCGCCTCTTCACCTGTGTGGCTTCTTCGGGAAATCCTCGAAAAGAAGCTTCCTCACGTGACCAAGCTTTTTTGAGGGAGGACACAAAAGCGTGTGCTCTGTCTTTTTTCCTCCCAGCTAAGCGACTAGCGACAGCCGGTCGCGTATAATACTTAGACTAGGCGATCAGACGGTAATGTGGTTAGCGTGCGATTAGAAGGTGACAGTACAATGCCGTTGACCTCGCCGTTATTCGGTAGCGAAGAGTGAGGGGATTACCTTGCGGGTTTCGAAACAAGAGAAAGAAGGGAGGTGTTTTTCTATAAGAAGGGGAAACATGGTAGTATCTGCTTCAGCCCTTTCTGGAGCTTCTTTCTCCGGCGGGGGCCACCGGGTTTGTTTCTATAGACATTTGGCAGTGCCGCTTCAACCGGCAAACGTTTATGGCAGTCGCCCATCTGTGCCATGACTACCCGAATGAGGAGATGGTGTGATTGGGGGTGGGGGGTGTTGACCTCAAGGTCAGCGATATCGTCAAAGCTGACCCCGGCGTTTCTTTGGCGGTCGAAATTCCGCGAGTCGTGTTGGCGCAGCCTTTCGGACAAGCGGTTTCGCCGTCCCACTCTGCACTTGGGACGTCGTAGACAGCCGCTGTGACCTCTCGGTCTTAGGCGGAAACTTTAAAGCAACGCCTCTGAGGACATGGTGCGTGCGATTTCTGAGTAGCCGTTCTTTCACAAGTGGCGCCAGACTTTCACAATCTCTTTCGACCTCCGAAGAGCCGACCTTCTGCGCGCGGGTCAAGATCGATGTTATCACCGCTTCCTTATTGTGTAGAGTGCTGCTGGAATGAGCGATGAGACAGCGCCCAGTGTAGGCTGGTTTCCGTCAAACCGCGAATGGCGGCTGGTCATCTGTCCTTCTTCTCACGTGCACACCGAGGAACGCCAATAAGTCAACATACTCATTCTTCGGAACCACTACTAGTACCGCAAGGTCATCGCCGAGCTGGTGAACCGCTTGTGGTGCTCTCCGTTCACGGAGGAGTACGCAGCGCCGTTCTCCCGATAAGGTTGCGGAAGCTCGTTGTAAAACAAAGCGCTAAATTAACGAACAAGAGAGACGAGGGTGACGACGTGAGAGTATATTTCCTTGTTTCATTTACACAAGTTTAGCCCGTGTTTTGACTGTACTATTGTAATATTACTGCGCGACTGAGCCAAATTATAGTTCTTGCTTAACCACCTTCCTAAAAAAACTATTTCTGAGGAAAGAGTTGAAGTAGAATTTCGTGCACACTTTTTTCTTGTTCTCATAAGAATGTATTCACATATTAACATTTTTTAATCAATTATAGAAATACGTGGCTTGAGGACTCTTAACTCTAACCAACCTTTGTCGACTCTATAGTTGAGGCTTTTCGGTGTCACAAGCTTTTAGAGATCGCCAACGCTTCACTAGATGGTGTAGCTAAAATTCTGGAATTCACACCTTGATATTTGGTACTTAATTTTAGTTTTTAAGACTAAAATTAAAAACAGGCCCTACGTCTCAGAACCCATTCGGTCTCTTCCCCAGGGGGTGAATGTCCGGCGGGCTCCGAAGCTAACGACGTTTCTTAGCGGTTGTCCCACTCTCCACCATCGTTCTTACCGCCGCTCTTGTTGCTGTGTTGTTCTCTCCATTGGTTCCGCAGACGGCCCTGTACATGCACACTCGGCAGGGTCCCAGTTGTTTCCAGGTGTCGTTTGGATATTGGAAGACTAAGGATTGCCTTTTAGTGCGGCTATCTTCCGTTTCGATGGCTCGGGCGGCGTCGAATTTGATGCGATGGTTCATCTTATCTCTGCGCTTTACGAAAACGTTTAATTCAGCGTTCAAGCTACGTACGTCGTTTTGGTGTTGCAGTATCCTTTCTGGAAAGATTTTTTGTCTCTCCGATATAAGTGGCGTAGCAATCAGTGCATGGAATTTCGTTGACTAGCCCCGGGGAAACTTTCTTTTGGCAGCCAGTCATTTCGGGTTTGTGCGCCACCCGGATACCCTCCTTCGCCAATACCCTCGCCAGTTATTCGCTGATTCCCGATATGTATGGGACCGGGGAAGGCTTCATTGTTAGTGTCACTCTTTTGTTTAGGACGATGGCGAACCATTAGGGAGTTTTCAAATAGCGTACGCTAACTTAGCGCTCGCTGCGGTCGCGCGCTATTTTCGTCGCTTAACGGGAGGCTGCAAGCGGTTAGCTTACGACTCATGTGCAGTAGCGCGAAACCGAATTACGCCACGCTTTGCGTACGCTTTTCTAAAACTCTGTATTATGTGATGTGCCTGAAGGAGAAAGTGGCACCCACACTGAAAATATTTCGGCTAATGGACGGTAGGGGGATTACGCCTAGTGCTATAATACAGACACACGTACGCACTCACTTTAATATTAGCGGGCATTCGAACTGCAGACTGCTAAATGCGTCTACATGTCGTGTAGAGGCTTACATGCAGGCATTTGAGACTGTGCCCAAACAGCGGGATAGGGCCCCAAAGCAACGCTTGGTGGCGCTGCGACTCTGGACAAGCAGCGCCATCTGTGGCAGAAAAATAGAAATTGCGGATGTACGTCGCGCGTTTTTCTTTCTTTCCTCCGCGCTGCCGTTCGCTTCCTTGCACGTGCAGGGCTCACGCGCTGCACTTGCGTCGCACACCGCTTGAAAAAGATCTCCCAGCTGGAAAGGCACTTCGAAAAGCGAACGTAATCAAATCAAAATGTTTGTTAATCACGCTTAAATTGTGAAGCAGACGACAACGCCCGACTAAACGTGAAATTACCGTGTGCGGCAAATCGAGGTAAGCTTTCTTCTCTCATACGTTCAACATACCTAATGTCATCATCATCATCATCAGCCTGACTACGTCCACTGCAGGACAAATGCCTCTCCCATGTTCCGCCAGTTAACCCGGTCCTGTGCTTGCTGCTGCCAATTTATACCCGCAAACTTCTTAATCTCGTCTGCCCACCTAACCTTCTGTCTCCCCCTAACCCGCTTCCCTTCTCTGGGAATCCAGTTAGTTACCCTTGATGACCAGCGGTTATCCTGTCTACGCGCTACATGCCCAGCCCATATCCATTTCCTCTTCTTTATTTCAACTATGATATCCTTAACCCCCGTTTGTCCCCTAGTCCACTCTGCTCTCTTCTTGTCTCTTAAGGTTACACCTACCACTTTTCTTTCCATTGCTCGCTGCGTCGTCCTCAATTTAAGCTGAACCCTCTTTGTAAGTCTCCAGGTTTCTGCTCCGTAGCTAAGTACCGGCAAGATACAGCTGTTATATACCTTCCTCTTGAGGGATAGTGGCAATCTACCTGTCATAATTTGAGAGTGCTTGCCGAGTGTGCTCCACCCCATTCTTATTCTTCTAGTTACTTCCATCTCGTGGTTCGGCTCTGCGGTTATTACCTGCCCTAAGTAGACATAGTCTTTTACAACTTCAAGTGGACTATTACCTATCTCGAAGCGCTGCTCCTTTCCGAGGTTGTTGTACATTACTTTCGTTTTCTGCAGAATAATTTTAAGACCCACCTTTCTGCTCTCCTTGTCTAACTCCGTAATCATGAGTTGCAATTCGTCCCCTGAGTTACTCAGCAATGCAATGTC